TATAAATCAGCTGTGGAAGCCCGTGTGCTGCACTCGGGTCTGATAACCTTCCCCCCTGACGTTATTTCAGACATGTTTCTATAAGCCAGCAACATTTTTCCTGAGCATCTTTCAAAGAGAGGTTTCCCTGTGAGACATCTCCTGGCTCCTGCTCAGATTGGAGCAGCACTATGGTGATGCATACAGAGATGTCCACTCATTAGCAGAGTCCCACACAACAGCTGCTCTGTGACGAAGGAACAGCCACCTCGTCTCCTGGCCCTTTGTCCACACTACTAAACATTTCTGACCCACGCAACCAGCCTGGACGATGACACACACAAACACACACGTATACTATCCTGACGAGTCACAACCCCATCTCTCTCTCTCTCACACACACACACACACACACACACACACACACACTCATTTCCATATCCCCACCCTCATTAAACTCTTATCCCCTTCCACAACCTCGTGGCACCATAATGGGCTTCCCTGCCCCCTTCTCTCCCCTCTCACACTAATAAAATATATCATCGGGTCTCCATTTATCATAATGCAGATGCCCTTGGGTAACCCTGAGGGTGGGGGGTTGAGGTGTGAGTTTTGGAGGATGGGAGGGATGCTCAGGGGCATCAGCTGATGGTTAGAGGCTTCACTGTCACATCTTTCAGACATATATGAGGTGAGTGAGACGGTGCAGGAGTAGAGAGGGGACACACACACACACAGAAAGATGTGATGCGACATGTGATTTGCATTATGACTCTGTTGGGGGTTCCTAATAAGACTGAGAACACTTGGAGAAGATACAAACAATCAATCAGAGGAGACAGTGACAGGCCTGATGAGGAGGAAGCCAACATTAATGCTAATTAATGCAGATGCTGTAATGGGCCTGAGGCTGCTGAGATATCCACAGATGCAAACAAAACACATCAAAGACAATAAGTGATGGTTAATAACAAGGTGAAAGAGAACAGACTCACCCTGCATGATTTACTGGACCGCTTGCCCGCCAGGTCAAATTTTCCTTTTAACTCTTTAAGCAGCTGCTCCAGGTGACTCTTCTCCTCTTTGCCGGTGTAGTCCGGGTCAAAGAGCACATAAGCCCGCCAGTTGGCTGAGTCGAATCCCCAGTGGACTGTCCGGTTCTCCAGTCTCTTGTGACTGTGAACCACAAACTTGTGAGGTGGGAACATGAGTCTGCAGTCCATGCACTGGATGCAGGCGGCGCTCGGGCCGGTGTACAGTTCCGGGACAAACAAGCCTTTACACCGGCCGAAACATTCATGATAGACTTTGAAGCTCTTCTCGGTTCGCTCCAACTCCAGGGAGCCTAACTCCTTGTTGCAGTGAGGAGGGTAAGTGCCCCCGTAGATGAGCGCGTTGCAGAGGCGCTCAGCATCCGTCTGAGTGATCAGCCCGCAGGACGGAGCCGAGAAGGGCAGGATACCCACCACTTTGAGGATCTCCAGCTGGTCCGCCGTGCACCGGGAGCAGTAGATGTGCAGGTCGTCGCACACCGAGTTGATCTGCTGGAGGGAGAAATCTCTCAGGACGCTGTTGAGGATCTGCGGCAGGCAGAGTCGCTTCTCGCCGCCGACCACGAAGCAGGAGATGGGCTCTCGCTCTAGGACCGTCTCACACCTCTCCGTGGAGCGGTCGGACGGGATGAAAAGTGGACCGGACATCACCGGGGGTGTCTGAGCCGGCAGGGTGAGCATCATCTCGACGGATTTTCCATCTTTACCGAAGAGTGCGTCCTGGTGCCACCGAGCGGAGAACGCCGCCGGTCCGCCGAGAGAGCGCATGGAACTCAGATGAAACTGCTTCAGAGTTTGTTGAAGTCCGGGATGGGGCTGGAAGCTCGTGCCCTCCATGTTGTCGCCGGTCGGAAAAGAGAGTTCAAAACTCAAAATGAAAGCTGGAATTGACTTATCGGATCGGGCGTCCTCAGCATCCGGCTACACGCTCAATAACGCGCATTTCCATGTCACCGGAGAAGCTTCCCAGCGCGTCCATTCAGAAAACTGACGGCTGCTGAATTCACAGGGGCTGTTCCTGTACGCAGACACGATTAAAGTCGACAACTCCTAGACACAGAACTCGTATTATCCAAAGCACAATCACCGGGTACCGTGTTTCTATGCGCTCCTGCGGTTTTACGCACTCCTAATGTGCGCTCGAAATATGCCTCGTCTGCTCAGTCTGGCGTACTCTCAGTCTGTCTCCCCACTCACTCAATGTGTGAGTCTCTCCCTCTCTCCTCCCTCTCTCCCTCTCTCTCTCTCGCCCTCTCTGTTTGTTTGTGTCTGGTTCAGTCATTGAATCCCAGCCAGGAATGTGACTGACTCCCCGGGCTGGCTCTTCCCTCAGCCAGCTGTTCCTCCCTCTGCTACATGGCAGCTGCACATTAAAAAAAGAAAAAAGAAAAAAAAAATCCCTCTGAACCGAGGGGAGGGTGGAGCTTAGGAAAATACAGTTGATGTTGGAAATATAAAAATAAACTTTAGTGTTTCAGATGTTACAGCCTTGCACATCAGCAGTTTTGGCTTTCTTTAGAAACTTTTTCGAGCATGTAAATTTAAAGTTAGACGGTCCAGAATATATTTGTATGTTTGCTTAAGAAGGTCAACCTGAAACAGTAGGAACATGCAGTGGCGGAAGGAAACTGAGCACATTAATAGTCAAGTACTATCCTTAAGTACATATTTGAAGTGCTTGTAAATTAATCTACTTGAGTATTTCCATTTTATGCTCTTTTATATTTCAGTTACACGACCTTTCAGAGGAAAATGTATTTTTATTCATTTAGTTTTCCACGTTTTTAATGAAGCATTTTTGAAATTCAGAAATGATTCACAACATAAACCAAACATTTTAATTTATACACTACATTTATACAATTTGACAACTTAAGTCAAAAGTACGCTATTTTACAGACTTAACATACAAAAAATGATGAGTTTATGAAATATGATGCAATGGTATACAGTAAAACAGTACAGTACAAGAATTAATTTAAATCAGCTCCACCTCCACTAATAGGAAAATGTCTCCTCTCTTCACATGAATGCATAAACACTGATAATCTAATGATATAATGTGTAATAGTATTTCACACACAGGGTATTTTTCGTAATTTAATATGTTTATAATTGATACTTTAAGCACATTTTGCTGATAAAACTTGTCTACTTACCTATAATTTACATTTTAAATACAGGATAGATAGATAGATAGATAGATAGATAGATAGATTCATTCTGAGCTATCAGTCTATACATGAATCAACATTAGACAGGGCATGGGCATAGTATACTGTCAGATATTAATACATACTTTCAACATATTGTACCACAGTAGCCAGAACTATAACTATAATATTATTACTTTCATTAATGTTGTTGTAAGCTACTGTCATTACCTGCATCTCTCTCTCTCTCTCTCTCTCTCTCTCTCTCTCTCTGTCTCATTGTGTCATATGGATTACTGTTAATTTATTATGCTGATCTGTTCTGTACGACATCTATTGCACGTCTGTCCGTCCTGGAAGAGGGATCCCTCCTCAGTTGCTCTTCCTGAGGTTTCTACCGTTTTTTTTCCCCGTTAAAGGGGTTTTTTTTGGGGGAGTTTTTCCTTATCCGCTGTGAGGGTCTTAAGGACAGAGGGATGTCGTATGCTGTAAAGCCCTGTGAGGCAAATTGTGATTTGTGATATTGGGCTTTATAAATAAAATTGAATTGAATTGAATTGAATTGAATAGATACCACTAAATATTGAGACAACTTTTGGATAAATATGAAGTTAATTCAACTAATTAAGCTTTTCGAGGTCAAAGTAAATCATGTTGGTTGTAGGCTACTAAACTAATTGAGATTGTCAGATTATAAAAGACCCATAGGATTTACTCTATAGGGCCAAAGTTGGAACTTCTCAAAAAGATGCATGCAAATTTTTACCCCTTTTTTTTAAGTTAGTGTTTTAAAGACAGTGACACAACACATGGGTGCATAAATGCAGGAAATCAAGTGTTTGACGCTCAAAATTTTCTGGCAGACCCTCACACACCCCATTTCACATGTCCACACCCAGGGCTGAAATGAAATCTACACCCTTGCAAAAAAAAAAAAAAAAAAAACTTTTTGGTATTATGAAAGCATATTATTTTGTATTATTACAACAACTTTCGATATCTGTGTCAAAACCGACCTATTTATTTTCAATGTAAATCTATTAGGGCCCTCAGTTGTGTCAGGTTTTTTCACTCCTGAGCTGTCATTAGCATCAACACTATGCTACATTACTGTACACACCAGGCAGTTTTAAACCTTGATACACCTAATTGTTCATATTTATTAATTTAACATCAAAATAGAATTAGCAGCAAACTAAAAATTTGGCATGTAAAATGCAGCATGGTATGATCAGAGACACAAAAATGCATGCAGTTATATAATCTGTGTTTATCATTGTGTCTCAGTCTATGCTTTTAAATGTGTTTAAGATCACAAATAAGCCTTATTGTAACTACAATATAACTTTGGGCAAAATTATACAGAGAGCATTTGATTATTACCAAAACTGTTGATTTGATATGAGTCATATTCATCTAATTTTCAATTAACTTATGCATCTAAGGGTTAAATGGCACTCTCAAAAACGTAAATGCAAATTCCATACCAACACAACACCTATAAAAATCCTATATAACTAAGATATTGAGAAGTCAACACAAATTAATCACAAAGGCTTTACTTCACACTGATTCCAACATTGATAACACCTCCCCTCACTCATACATTAAAAATTATTTTACGTTTGAATCACTATTTCTTTGTTCTTATTGTTTCCTGGCAAATAACTATCAGCTGAACAACTTTGAATCAACGTGGTTTGGTCTTCCCTTAACCACTAGAGGGCGCTAAATGCTAGTTAATAAACGTGATGGAAACTGATGAGCGTCCAAAAAGGAGTTTGAAAAGGTGACACAATATAAAACAGATCAAAGCAAACATCTACAGTTAGATTTTATTAACTGAAAGCACAAACACAGTATTTATCTCTTTTGAAATAAATACAGCTTTGTCAATCTTACAGCAAGAAAAATCATCACAAGAATGAGCAGTTTCATTAATCTGTGTGTTTGAGAGTCTTACTTTTACTGATTCTAACGAGATATGTTTGATAATGTTTGAGGAATTAAACATACAACAATGCAACTCAATTTCAGGGACATTTTGCGACAAAAATATAAACATTTTGACATGATCCTAAATGAAATAGAAAACCATTTATTCACCACTTTTTACACAGACATCACACAGGATAGTTTAAACATCTTAACACTTATAAAAGTCCCATGAAACATTTAATTAGTCATTTAATGTCACATCCGAAACCAGAATATCCAGTAGTTTTTCTCTGATTTGTTCCCAGTGTTTTCAGTATTTTACAGTTCACACTGGGCATCACACAGATGGCATTTTCATTTTCAGGAGGCAGTTTGTTAAAGACAACAGGTTTAAAAACAACTTACAAAAAGAACTCAAAAACAAACAGGTGATATGTCAAACATTTTCTGGCCTCTTCTCTCTTTCTTCAGGGTTACAAATCCCCAAAAGGTTGCACATCCAATGCTTCTTATACTTAATACCTTTAAAATCTCCCAGTTAATCAGTTTCCCTTTTCCCCCTTCTCAATCACAACATGGTTCAAACTTTTTCACAACTAATCAGCATCAACATACAGCAACATTAAGAATTCCTGCTAAGGTGAAAACATATATGAGTTCAGGTTTCTGTCCGTTACAACACACACTGTTGTTGAATAAAAGTGAAAGGCTGTCCCATATTTGTCTACAACAATATCTTGACAGCTGATCCTTTCACACAGACTTAATTATGCTTTACAACAAAATAAATATGCTGATCACAAGCTTTAGTAGTGAAGACAATGTTCTCATTTCAGGAGTGCGTCTGCACGGCCTCCCTCACGCTGCTCGCAGCCACATTTAACCTACTTAATACCAACCTTGAAAATGGGTTTTCAGAAATGTTATCATTAGTCCATTTAACACAGATATTTTTTATTCATCGGGAGTAGGCATCAATTCAGGCATCTTATTGTCGTACTGTGGTGGCGGAGTGATGGGTTCAATGGTCACTGGATTCTGTGTGGGGCTGCGGATTTGGAGGCGGAAGTCTTTCAGGTGCAGTTTGTCTGACTTGATCCTCCTCACCCGGAGAGGCCGCAGTAAACGGCTGGCCCGGCTGGCGCTGCGAGTGGGCAGGCTGGGGTTTGGCTGGAGGGCAGCATGGTCAGCCTCGGGCTCAGCAGCAGGTTGAGCCGGAGCTGGTGCGGCATCATTAAGAGGGGTGACCTCTGTGGCATTGTCAGTGGAGCCTGCTCCCTCGTTTTCCACAGCAGCTATGATATCCTCGTAGGACGGCAGCTGGGAGGTGCTCTGGCGAAGGTTGCTATTGCGGACTGGGTAGGTGTCACTGCCAACGACCTCATCGTAGCTCGGCACGTTGTACGTGGTTGGATCTGAAGCACTGCAAAAAGGATGAAGAGGTGAACCTCGGTGAGAAAATAATCAAACTTTAAAGCTGAAATAACTTGTTTTTGCCACTCGGGAAGTGGAAACAAGATGTCAATACAACACTGACATATCACTTTTTATGTTGATTAAGAGGTTGGCAAATGGTTTAATATTTTCACATCCTGCAAATGCAGAGCAACATAGTTTTGAAACCATGTTTGTGTCCACCCGGAAAATCTAAGTCCAATACTCACTCTGTTTTAGCCAGTGTTCGAAGTAGAAAAAAAAACAGGTGCTGGTGCTTCCCTTGTACACATGTTGGTCTGTGTATGGGAGAGGGTTTTGTGGGCTGATGCAAACATCATGACTCTTAGGAGTCCTAGTAGTGGCACTGGCATTAGCTTGCTGGCCCCTTGATCTGCTCTTAGTAATAAAATTTGACTTTCAAAACTCTGCTGGTCATCTTCTGACTCTTATGGTGTTCTTTGTGTTGCTGTTTGGAGCCAGGTCAACATTATTGGAGTCTAATGTAACACTAGTTAGACTAGCAGCCGACATACAAAAGCAGGCAGGTGTGAACGTTAACAGGTAAGCATAATGTAGCGCCCCCTGGATAATGCAGTTTGTCTGGGACCATTACGAATCGCCAAGAAAACTAGATATGGAGAGGGCCAAAAAGAGAACTGTCAACTTGTGAGATGAGCTGGTGCACAAGAAAAAGTCACGGCGCACACAAAAGAGTAGATGTAGAAGTGCCAGTACAGCATACAATTGAAAACTGGCCCATTTCAAGCACTGGTTTTAGCTCTGTTTTTGGTCTCTACCAGCCCTTGAGGGAATTTTTAAATAATTTTGCTCACCATAACACCTTTCATAATAAATCAGGATCTTTGTTTCTCGGCTGGACTTCAAACTATCACATCATGTTCCAATAATTCAGGCTGTCTCATTAAGCAGGATTACTAATTTTGCTGTTTCCAGTAAAATCCAGAAAAACAAAGTGGCTTTAAATATTCCAGGTTGAAATGTTTCGAAATCAGACTTTAAAACAAAGACAAGAAGCCATCACTCACGCCTCCTCATCCTCCCCTGGCACATGGTTCATGAAGGGGACTCCTACTGCAACTGGCTGGTTTCTTCTGTTGCGTCGTGCCCTCTTGCTCCTCACACCGAGGAAAATTGATAAAAGCAACATGGCCGCCCCGACTCCAACCAACACCATAGCCACTGTTGCAGACTTTTTGTTGTCCTTTTCATCCTCGTTCTCAGCACCGTCGGGCCCCGTGGTGGTGTTGCCCGACGAAGTGGGGGAGCCGCCTGAGGCCTCACCGTCCATCGGTATCACAGTCCACACAATCATGACAATACCCAGAGCGATGAGTCCCACTCCCAGGGCGCACAGGGCATAGTGAGCACCTGAACCAGCACCCTCTGAGTTGGAGGATCTGTTGGGACGGTCGTTGCCGCCGCATATACCCCGACTGGAACACATCCCTGCTGGAGGACCTGCCAATACAGTGAGAGGAGACACAAACCATGAAGCTGTCACACTGTAATGATAGATCGTAGTAACCTAGTAATCGTAGACATGCTGTACTTCCATTGAGCACAACTGCCTTATTTTACTGGCTGTTATACAAACTCATGTGGTGAACAGGGAGCTTGGTTTCTGCTGCTGTGTGACAACAGGCATTTCAACATTTCAGCTTCTCATCTGATACCGCCCTCACCCCCAGCAGTTATTGTGACAGTCAGAAGCTTAATGTGGCAAAGGTGAGGAGTTAGGCAGGCTAGGAAATAGACCCTGCTGTAACAGGCTCAGTTCTAAAATTTTAGAGTAGATACTGGCATTATATGAAACTAAATGACCAATGTTATATATTGGTACCGGCCACGTCACACTATAAAGGGTTAAGCAATGCTCTGAAGTAGGGCTGGGCAATATGTCCTGAAAATGATATCACAATATTTTTCGTCTATATCACGATACACGATATAAATCTTGATATTTTTTATTTTTCATTAATGCTAGGACTGGGAGACAAAATCAAACATAACAATATTTCTGACCAGATAGCCTCTCTGATGCGATAAAGTTGCAGGGATGATTATTGTTGTTGTTTGGGTTTTTTTGTTTTTTTTTCCAGAAAACATTAAAACAAGATTTTTGATCAATAATCATCAATAATGTGGATATAATGACTAAGTGGGTTGAAGCAAGCATTACAACAAATAGAAAACAGGTAAGTTAGCAATGGCGATAAGTGGTAATTGCAATGTGTCTGTTGGCATAGTTTAAGGCTTGAAACCAGGCTGGTGAATTTATTTATGTCTGTTTTTTTATGAGGCCTACGGCTGGCGAGAAGAAAGTGTGATCACAGCATAGATAATGTGTGAGAGTGTGTGCATGTATGTATGTTTTGGTGCGGATTACTAATGACTTAGTGCCGCCTGTGATTTTTCCTGGGAATGTCATCACAGACACAAAGTTAAGTTCCTAATACTGCAATTAGAAGGGCTTTCCTCAGTGGCTCAGTCACCATTCAGCAATATGTAGTAACTTAACAGACAAATGTTTAAAGGTCAAGTGTGGAGGATTTAGTGGCATCTAGTGGTGAGGTTGCAGATTGCAACCAAATGGCACTTCTCCAATGTGCCAAGCGAGTAAGAGAACTGCGGTAGCCGATGTGAAAAAGTGAATGGCCCTGTCTGATCCAAGTGTTTGGTTTGTCTGTTCTGGGCTACTGTAGAGCAATGTGGCGGACTCTGTGGAAGAGGACTAAGGCTGGGTTCCCATACAACCAGTACCTAATAGGCTGAATCAAAACGCAGATTTGATGCCTCATTTCGGTGCCAGAATGTGTGCGTAGGGAGTGTGCAGCTGAGAGGGTGTTAAGTTTACTGTGGCAGTTCACTGTGTGTACAGTTAAGGCCATTTGTCAGTGAATAAATGCTACAGCTCCTTGAAACCCCAGCCAAGTTCCTGTGTCTTGCCTGTCACCTGCTGATTAAAGGGGTTAGCCCTGACATTAGCAAGCAGACTTAGCATCCCACTGGAACCCGACCGGGCTCACTGAAGGTGGACTGTTGATTTTGTCAACAGTCCATAATTCCTTTTGGCTGGACTGACAAAAGGTTTTTGTTTAGTGCAGTTTACAAATCATTAATTCATTAATTTTCTGTAACTGCTTATCCTGCTAGGGGTTGCAGAGGGGCTAGAGCCTATCCCAGCTGACACTGAGTGAGAGGTGGGGTACACCCTGGACAGGTCACCAGACTATCACAGGGCTGACACATAGAGACAGACAACCATTCACACTCACTTACTCATTCACTCACATATGGTCAGTTTAGGGTCCCCAATTAACCTGCATGTCTTTGACTGTGGGAGGACGCTGGAGTACCCAGAGAAAACCCACACTGACACAGGGAGAACATGCAAACTCCTTGCTTATTTGAAACCACAAATGTCTCTGTTTGAAAATATCTGATTTTATCTTTTATGCTTAGTAATCATACTGAGTACATGGATGCATAAAAAGAGCATGGCCTGGATGGGTCTAACATTGCCCATGTTGGTATTAGAGCTAAGGGTGTGTGATCTCAGCGTATAGACCTTCTTGTTGCTGTCCAGCACCAGCTGCATTGGTGTGTGGGTTTCTCCTCTGCTGTCCTTTCTTGTTAGTCTATTGAACGGACGCAGCCAAGACAAACTTTGTTGTTGCCCTAAGTGACGCAGGTCCACAGCAGCCCTTAGACTATACTATCATAATCAGCCATCAGGTAATGTTTGAATGAAGCCTCATATATTCTTGATTACCTGAGTAATTATTTTGTCTATAAATTGTCAGAAAATGGGAAAACAGTTTCCCACACCCCAAGGTGACATCTTCTTATGTCTTGTTTTGTCCAGTTGACACTCCCAAAACCCAAAGATATTCAGTTTACAGTGATACATAAAAGAAAGAAGGAGAAACAGAAAACAGCAAATGTTTCCTGTTTTAGCTTGCAAAAAGGTTGCTGATAATATTCTGTCAACTGACAAGTCAACTAATCCACTACTGTTACATGGTTCATATACCATCAATTGCAAGTAACCACTGAGACCTATTTCTAACACTACAAGGTCCATCTGATAATTGTTTTATGTTTTTACATGTCAAGTCAAGCCCCAAAACACAAGTTAGTCTACAAGAGCTTTTCAAACATGTGACGCCCTTCCTTCCACACCACTGCCTGCCTCAGGCATTACAGCATTTGTTTTACAGCATGTGAGTTGTGAATGTGTCTTTCAATGTGTGTTCATATTCATTCAAATCTACATCTCAGGCTCCACAGGAGCTTGTTTCCTCTGCATATCAGGCTTGCTCAGATTTGTTCCTGAGCGGAGCCACATCCCCAAACTAAAAAATGTTTTACTGCTGCAACAATTAAAGCCTGTCCTGACTGAATTTCAGCATCACGCTTTTGATTGCCACTGAACTAAATCTGGCTGCATCTGAGAATGAATGACTTCATTTACGGTTTGCATAAAAACACTGAGAGGCTGCTACATTTTGAGCAACAGGAGCGAGAGAGCAGGTTAACAAGAAAACAGGTTATAAGTAAACAAGTGCAGAGGAAGCTCCACACGTCTTAACATGACGGACTGAGAGACAGAATCACTGAGGGGAGTGACTCACACTCAAAGAATGGAGCGACACAAAAATGTCCATGGTATGATAATATACTACTCAACACTTATTGTGAAGTATACAATAAAACACAGTGGATCTTGTATAAATGTGTCCCAGAAATAACGCAAAATATGTATAATGTATAATTTATTGTAAGTCATTACAACAATCCTGCAAAACTGCTACTTCTGTAAAGTATGGGGTTTTTTGTCTAGTTTTGAGACTGTGTCAGAGAGGTGGTGTGTGATGTTTGAACTGTACTTGTACTGTAATGTTCATGCAACTGGTTCTCTGTAAGTAAACACACCTCACTGTATATATCAAACCTGGATGAGACCCCCCCTTTTCACAAATTCTCACAATAAAACAGTGAACTTCAAAGTTACAATCCCCCAAATCTGTTTTATGTTCTGTTTGGCAGCACTTATGGTGCCAGAATGTGTGCGTAGGGAGTGTGCAGCTGAGAGGGTGTTAAGTTTACTGTGGCAGTTCACTGTGTGTACAGTTAAGGCCATTTGTCAGTGAATAAATGCTACAGCTCCTTGAAACCGCAGCCAAGTTCTTGTGTCTTGCCTGTCACCTGCTGATTAAAGGGGTTAGCCCTGACGTTAGCAAGCAGACTTAGCATCCCACTGGAACCTGACCGGGCTCACTGTAGGTGGACTATAAAGCTGACCATCTGTTCTCATAGTGGTGAATGTCAGCTACTGCTTAACAGACAATAGAGAAACATCTGGCTACTGAGGCTCTCCTAAGTTAGCAAAACACTTTTGAAACATATACTATGAGCTCTGCTGTTTATGTTGAAGGAATGACGCTGTCTTTGTTAAGTCTGTGTTAATTTTGGTGTTTGTGGGTGTGTGTGTGTGTGTGTCTGTGTTTTTTTTTTTTGTCTTAAAAATTAATAAAAATTTAAATAATGAAAAAAAAGTTAGCAAACCAATTATTGATCCCAACTTAAAATCGATTTTGCAGTTAATAAAATCGATTTTGCAGTTAATAATACTGTTACTATTATTTAGTGTTAATTGTAGATGAGTAAGGTTTTGTTTTTTATGTAAGTTTATGTTCAAATTTCAAGTTTAAATTTGCCTTTGCAATAAAAAAGCACTTCTTTCATGTTGTTAGCCATCGTATTGTGCTTTACTTTTCAAAGAGTGTCAGTTCAGGTACAGTTTCAACACCCGTACTGTTGTAAAACTAACATTTTAGCACCGGTATCTGGAAAAACCCCAAACGATATCCAACCCTAAAGAGGCCCGCTCCATATGTAAATATAAATGGCTTAATCTAAGGTAACAAAAACACAACAATTCTTATTTTCAGGTGATTATAAATAAATGAAAACATGGTTATGAATATTATATTCTATTTCTGTAAATATATCCACATAAGGGCCTGTGTCTACATAGCATTTTTTTCTCAGTGCTGGTAACTTTTTTCAACTGTTCCCAATGAAAAGAGTGTCCACGGCCAGGTAGAGAAAAAGTGCAAATTTTTCAGAGCGCTCTGCCTGTTTTGTGCGGCCACCCCGAGCGCTTCCAGTTGAAAATCTCTGAAATTTTCAGAAAGGCGTTGGTGATGTCATGTTGGTCCTTTAGCTTGGCTACTGTCTAACTGTCACAACAAAGATAGAAGAGCCCATTTGTGGGACCAGATCGGCCCATGGACACTGGATGTTGCTGGTGAGTGTTGTGCTTTTATCACTGTACTGCTGTAAGCTTGTTAACTGTATAATCAACGCTCTGTTGACATAGCATTGCATTAGCTACCCTGCTAATGTTAATGTCAAGAAATTGTTGGCATAGAAACAAAACCCACGTGCAGCCA